GTCTGAAACATTGATGCTGGCATGTCGTGGCTCTGAGTCGAGCTCTCTGCCGATTTCCGTCATAGTTTGCCGAGTGCTAGACTGCGTGAAAACCAGGCTGAGGCGCACTGGGCCTTCCTTTGTGTTGCAAGCCGTGCTCTCCAGCCGAACTCTGCATTTGTCCTGGAAACCATACAGACCCCCCTTTGATCCAGTGCCCGTACAGCCGTACAGTATCGCGGCATGCACATCGAGTCGCCTTGAGCCGAGCCCTTATGGACCAACGAACACCCCCCCAATCCAGGGCTGGACAGATATGTCACAACAAGGTGCTCTCCACGATTCCCTTCTGCCAGATCCGAGTAGTTTGATGCCACACGGCCAGGGACGATGTCCTGCAGAACTTCTGACGCTGCAGAAAGTATCTTGAACTGCCAGGCTACACCAAGTGCAGGCAAAGGGGGGCTACGACAGATTTCTCGTCAGTGTCTTGCTATGCGATGCTTTTGTGCTGGCCAGCTTCTTTGTTCGACACGCCACACGCAGAACTCTAGCTGGACCAAGTCCAATCGCAAAACCTCATTCAGACTCTTCTCCAAGCTGTGCCGGGTCGAATCGCCCAGGATTGTGCAACTCTTGGCCGATCGCGCTGCTCCCGCCCGTACCAGCAGTAATTAGCAGCACCTTTGGGGTGGCTGTACACGGTTTGCACACTTTCGTTTAGCTTGCAAAATCCAAATGCTACTTCAGCTTCGAGACGACGTGTTTCGGCAGGTAGCTAATGTGAGAGTTTTTTGCCATTTGATCCATGCCGTTGCTTCAACACGCTCAACGATGAGATGCTGTCGTTCTTACGATCAAAGAGTGAGGACATGCCGGGACTACGAGGGCGTGTGCATCAGCGTTCCGTGCAGCTCAGCTTTTCAGCTCGATTGTCAGTGACACGGAGCATTCTCTAGCGTTTGGCCTGTGCACCGCGGAATGCACCCGTGAATCGCAAACCTGGCTAAATGCCTGAAGCGAAGGCATTGAGCTAGGTTCCAACCCTCAGGAATTTCCACTTTCGGAAGCTGGATGCTGAAGCCGTGAGAAGAATCTAGTTTGCTCAAACGAAGAAGAGCTGCGGACTCTTTCTTCCTGTTGTCTTTCGCCGCAACTTTTAAGGCTTTCGATTCTTCCGGCAAGGAGGTCCACATGCGACTCGAAGTATGCTGCGCACAAATAGAAATTTAGAGACAAAGTAAAAGCGGTTCAACGCGAATGTGCAAATAGCCCAAGGTCGGTGGCCTGCCCGGGCAGCTACCACGCTGTCATGCGCAGTTGAATCAAAACTTTTCGTGTTTGTCTGGTCTCGTAGATCAGTCTCCTAGAGATTGCGACTGGGGTGTCTCGCGCATGCTACAGGAAGCACATGGACGGACACGAAAACCGGCTAACCGAAACCACACGAACTGCCTCAAACCTGAACCGCCAGCACGCCGCGAAACGAGGAGGTACAAATGGAGCCACTTCTCCGAAAAAAGCAACATACAATCAATCGGGATGGGGCCAGCAAGGGGGTTTACAACAAAAGTAGATCTCGCTGGAAGCTGCTGTCCTCTTGCTGCGGCCCACCATCCGCCTCCGCCTGGAAATCAAACGCCAAGAAGAAAGTTACCACCTAGTTCTTTTGACAACCTGCCTGTGCAAGCTGCATCTCGCAGTTCCGACTCTAGTCTACTCGCCCTTCCCGCAGACATTCGCTAACATGTGTCCGCTGTGCCAGCCCACCAACTACAAGGACTTCAGCGGACGTGCCAGGGACATCCCTGGTACAACCTGCATGTCCGCAGCAAGAAACGCGTCAGATTGTGAAAGGAGTGACTAGCCATCTCGCATCTTGGTGTTGAATACCGCGACCTTCAGGGATCTGAATTCCTGTCCCTCGCGGTGCCTGTTCATGCTTGGCCGAGCTTGGCACAACTCCCAATCCATCCACGTCCTCGAAGCAGTGCCCAGATTGTCGAGAGGTGACGACCTTGAGCACAAATGGGCAATCACAGGCTACAAAGGGGTCTCGGACTGCCAACGGAAATCGAGAATTGACACTGATGCACCGACATGTCCTGATCAAGCTTGTTAAACACATCCATAAAAAATGATGCAAGCTTCGTGGTGCAGTTTACAGTTTACAAGAATGTGTTTGCAAATGTTTGCAAAATTGATGCCCCTGGTGCTCGCCGCGGTTTGGTCACCCTACTGTAGCCGTTGTCCTTTTGGCACACATCTCGCGCGGCAACACAGGTGCGGCAGTTTTCCTGCTCTCGTCATCGATCGAATCGACCTTCTTGCCATGATGGCTTCCTTCCTTCTAACGGAAATGCTGCGCTTTGCTTCGACATGCCAGGTAGAAGCACTGATGGATCCTGGCATTGAACTGCTCATCATGCCTGGACATGCACAGCCCAGGGAAGAAGCCAATGAAGCGTGTTCGAATGAACATACCAAAGTTCCTGGAAGGCACTGGTCCAACTGATGTAGGTCGGCGACATGAAACCATTCACATACACAGGATGTGACATGTTATATTTTATGCTGTCACACACACACACACACACACACACACACACACACACACACACACACACACACACACACACACACACACACACACACACACACACACACACACACACACACAAAAACACACACACACACACACACACACACACACACACACACACACACACACACACACACACACACACACACACACACACACACACACACACACACACACACACACACACAACCACACACACACACACACACACACACACACACACACACACACACACACACACACACACACACACACACACACACACACACACACACACACACACACACACACACACACACACACACACACACACACACACACACACACACACAAAAACAAACACACACACACACACACACACACACACACTGACACTGACTGCAAGGGGCCCCAAATGTGGCTCGAGCGGTCTGGGAACATAACCATCGGTTTGGCCACTGCCAAGACCTGCAATATGACCGTACCTGAGGTATCCTGAAGAGCAATTCTCAGCGGACCGTGAAGCTTCCACAGACCGGGCACCAGTCTCCATGCCGCCCCGCCCCCGCCCCCCCCAACTCGGGGCCTGTACCTGCTTTTCTCCATGTGAACATGAGTTTTGGCAAATGTTTCAACCACACGGTCAGAATAAAGAATTCGGTGGCAGGCTTGTTGCTGAGCTGAGATGCTGAAGATTCGTTCTCTTTCGCCTTCTCCCCGCTGCTTTGCCTGCTGCGCGATGGATTCCTTTGCGATGGCTTCCTTGGATATCACACGTCGTCGAAGGTCAATCTATAGAAAGGAAACTCATGCTGCGAGGACGCCAGAATTTGTTCGTCCACATTGCTGTATCTGTGTATCTGCCTGTAAGAGTGCATGTATGTATGTAGGTATGTATGGACATATGTATGTATGTGTGTGTATATGTGTGCCGGTGTGCGTGTATGCTTGTAGGTATGTAGGTAGGCATGTAGGTATGTATGTATGTCTACATGCCGCTCTCGCTCTCGCTCTTCTCCCTCTTCCTTCCTTGCTTGCTTGCTGAGAGGTATGGGCTCCCTGGGGAACCCCGGCCCGAAGGCCTACCCCCTCCACGGTCCGCGCGATCCAAAGTCTGTACGGCTCCTTTCGGGGTTCTCTCTCTCTGCTTTGCTTTGCTCCGGGGCGAGGGGAAGGGGCAGTCCCCCTTCCCCGCTCTTCGAGCGGGCACCCCATGTTCATGCAGCACGATAGACCCGCTCAACACTCAACCCCAACCTCAGTACAGTACAGCCAAGCCCATCACCCAAAATGGTGTATGGGGTTCTCGCTCGCTCTCTCTCACTTCACTTCACAGGGGTCAGGCTCCAGGAGCCCGCGCCAAGGCGCCCCCTTTCCCCCATTGTTTTCTCGCTCTCTCTCTCTCTCTCTCTTTGCTTTGCTTTGCTCCGGGGGTGTGAGCCACTCTCTCTCTCTCTCTCTCTCTCTCTCTCTCTCTCTCTCTCTCTATGTATGTAGGCATGTATGTACCTGTGTATGTATGTACATTATGTAGAAGGTGTAGCTCCCTCCCTTCTCGCCTTGCGACCTAACCCTTGCCGGCTTAGTTCACAGTCTCGGATCGCGACCTTGTCTCTCCAGGCTGATGCCACCCAGGGAGTGCATGTCGATCTTAGGGCTAAGACTGCGAAGCAGAGTTTTACTAAATATCTCGGCAGAGAATCGCAGCTGTCGACATTGAGGCCTCCGACAAGTGAGCCATATTCCGGAAGACCTTTGCAGGGCGGCCGGTAAAATAGGACCCCGAGCCATACGAAGTTCTTGCCAGTTGAAAGCCCATTTCCTGGCCTTGGACACCGTCTGCCCGACCTTGGGTCGAATCGTTTGACGGTCACCCGCTTTGGACACTCACACTTCGGTCACCCTTTACACTGTGAGGACCACTGCCGAGGTGGCCTCGGTGTGGATGGTTCAGCCTTGACATGATGTCGTGCCATCATGAGGACCCTAGCCTTGCTTCGAACTCCAGGTTTTAAAACAGTGAGCCGCAAGGAGGCCGCTCAAACACTCGTTTATCTCGCTCCTAGCACCCACCCTTCGAAGGTGTCTGTACCAAATCCGCAAGGCTTTCTGCAGACTCGGTGCTCTCGGAACACGCAAGGACGGGATCCGCCTGGCTGGGGGGCAGGAGAATGGTCTGCACGACTCTGCGTCTTTCGAGTATGTTAGCGGACTTTGCCTCTCATTGTTGGAACACTACACCCTGTGCTCTACACTCTGGATGATACAGCATAATCATTCATCACTACGGCGCTGCCCGTGGCAACGCCGTAGCTCAACAAAGCTTTCGCGGTCTTGAGATAACTATAGTATAGGCGTCATGTAATGTCAGGTGGTATTCTTTTCGGAAATCTCTCGTTGTATGCCCAGTGGTACAAGTCGAGGGCAAAGGAGTTCCTGCTCAGACGATGTCAAGTGTAGCTTCCCCGAGAACCGAATCAGCATGCAGGCCACAAAATGTGTAAGCTGATGGATGTGGACTCATCTGAAGAGATGCATAACAGCTTGCTGGCTCATGTATCTCGTCCCTGGCCTCCTCGCCGAACTGAGCACACTCCCGACTCCGCTCAGCATGGAGGTTCTGGACCTGTAAGGTTCACAAATTGCGAGTAGGGTAGAGGAACTACACTTGAATGACGAAATATTGCGAAGGAGATTCCGACCGATCAAGCAACGACACGGACACGAACTGCTTCCATGCGTATATATACATATATATATAAATATATATGTATATATAGAGGCCCATACACTGGTGGTGGCACTAGTACGACTATCTGCTGTGCTGTTCTGTTGTTGTCTGCGGCCCCGGCGTCATGGAAGCTACCGTCTGCGCCGGCGCCGCCGGTGTCCGCAACGTCGGCACAGGAGACACGTCGATGTTGTTGGTCGGTGAAGGAGGTACTTCGGACTTGTCCGCACCTGAGTGGGTCACAGGCCGTTGCGGGCGGAGACCATGGCAGTGGTGTCCCTCCCAGAGCATACGACGCGGCACGCTGGTGCAGTAGATGAGCTTGGATGTCAGTCCGGACGACAGCACGGAGGAGCGAAGTGCATCAGTTTATGCGGCTTGCTTGGATAGGGTTGTAAGCACTATATAGGAAACTTCAAGTTTGGCACCCTCGTTCTCGGAAAACTCATCCAGGCTGATGTCTCCTCGGCTGAGCGGCTGCGACTGGACAGCATGCATGTTATCAAAGCATCCGCTTGCAAAACCCGTGGCCTCTACCTGTCCGAAGTACAGTGTAAGCCCTGTTGTAAAGGTGCACTCCAGTGAAAACGCGGAGGCAGAGCAATTTTTTTGCGTTTCACTATTCATGGACCTGGTATCTCCAACCAAAATAGCCTGAGCAGAACCTGCTTCAGTTGCTACGAGCTGACCAGACAGGATGACCCTGCTTCGCCAGCATGTCTAGATTGATGCCTTTGTGTTTGCTCTGGCTAGTCTGCTAGCATGACTCGATGATGGTAAGGCCTGGTAAACAGCAATTGCTCATCACCATCCCCACTGAAATCCTCAGCATCCTCTCTTGACTTGCTCTACCCTTGTTTGCGCATCTTTGCCGATCGAGCTGCCGGTAGCCTCCATATAGCCTTCGTGGGGAAATCATGTCGGGGAACTTCAAATTTCAAGCTCGGTACTAATTCAGCTGTCCTGGTTACCCAGCGACTTCGGTTTCTAGTCACATCTGCTCCGCAAGGTCAACTGGGGAAAACGGTATGGCGGAGCTCAGCAAAGCAGCCGTAGCGCACCAGCGCCGTGTGGGCAATCCGGAAGGCTCGAGAGGCCTCTCGATGGGATGCTTCGATTGCAGTGCGAAGGCCTGGGCTTCGACCCTGCCACCAACGCTTACAAGAACTACAAGCAGCACTAGTGCAAAGCCCTCCATCAGAGAAACTTTTGTTCTGAATCCAGGTACTCTATTCAGCTTTAGCTCTCAAGCCGACGCACCTTGCGGGACTTCGTCACTTCCGGTGCCATTTCGCGGAGCTCGTTGAAGCATTCCACGGCCTCGGGCAGGGCCAAGCTGCCGGTTCCCTGATTGCATGCAACCCTAAACCCTAAACCTAAATCCTAAACCGACTTCCCACAAGGCAGGGTGTGCTTGAAAATGCGATATGCCGATAGCTGCGGGACCAGGGACAAAACTCTGAACGTTATAACTCTGAGTCCACGCCCCTGCCAGCTCTGAGTATCTGCTGCAAGGCCCTTGAACTCTCGCACCCACCGTGAATTTAAAATGGCAGAGAAGAACTACCCTCCAGAAACCGGTATCTTCTCTTCAAGTCCAGGAAACGCTCGGCCGATCTGGAGCCTCTTTGGACATCCTGGCTTCCCAAGAGGTCGGAGGTGCGTTCAACCCGTTTGCGCTATGTTCTGTTTATTGCTGCTGACGTGTTCCTGGGAGTCGACTCGCTCGAGGGGCTTGGGAAGTAACGAGGTGAGAATGTACCTTTCGACAAGCGAGGTCCCTTATCATATTTTTTGCCACCCGCCCAGCAAGCTCCCCGGTGCAGCCACTCCGCTCCCCGAGCATCTTTGCCAAACATCTGCTTCAGCACGACAGCAGTTCGCGAATCTGTTCAGTATTTTCTCAACTACCGGGAGCTTCCAACGAATCCAGCTGGCGTTTCTTGCAGGAAGGTCGTTGGGGGTCGGCTTACAAGCTAGCCCGTTTCCAAGGAGCCAGTTGCCTGCAGTTAGTCGTGATTCGACGTGGGCATCGACATCGATGGAGCTTAGTAGATGCTTCTAGGTCGAGGCAAGGGACATCCGCAGCACCAAAGAAACGACTGGACGCATGCTGTCGTCGTCCAACTCGGGGATTTCGACCTGGCGTCGAGAGCTGGAAGCTTCGGGCTGAGGGCCTAAGGGCCCTTACCTAGACCCCCCAACAAAGTAGGTAAAATAATGGCCCAAAACCTATAAAAGGCTACTATTCTACATAGTTTTGGGGTCCAGGTTGGGTCTTCCTCTGTCCGTGCGGACAACTGGAATCAAGAAAGCCGTGTCAACTCGCGGATGCATTGCCTCACATTGCCGGGTCTTCTCCAACATCTCCTGAGAGAACAGGAGGCTTGGTGTCACGAGAGCTTGTGGATGTTGACCTCCCTGAACGGTCCTCGTGCGTGCCTGCCCAGAAGGGCAGCGCTCGAAACATCATAAAGTAACTCAGGACTCCCAGGGCGAAGACGTCCACCTGCGCTCTTTAAGTGTGCGAATCCTCCCCCCCAGCAGCGCAGGTGCAACTACAACATGGGTCATCGTGCCAGTCTCATGCAATCACTGTCCAGCCTGTTCCTGAAAAAGCTACAGCAGGTGGCAACTTGATCCATTGGATATTCTCGAACGGTTGCCTGAGCCTGCAACTACTGCCCTCGCTTCGTCCAAGCCGCCAGCTCGTCATAGAGCCGCGGAGTCGGAGCGATGATCTCCGGTGCCTGGGGATGTGCTCCATGCGTGCTGCAAAGGAAGTCTGGCCGAGATTCAGCCACGTTACAGCATAGCCGGGAGACCCAACAGGGCGGCACATGGCCTCCTGTCACGGTCACAGAAATATTCTCTAGTTGGAGACAACACATTCTGCACAGTTGTCTTCACCTGGTCATCAAGGTAGGCCGCAATGCCAAAGTCCTGAGATTCACTGCAATGCCAAAAACACCTCACGGATGGTCAAGTCAACTTGCAGCATCTCCAATCAGCCAGAACGGCGCGATCTTAAAATCCTTTAACCAGGCAGTCAACAAGAAAGAGCAACAGCCCGGAACTTGCACTTCATGGCCGAGGATCTATGAGCACAGCATGCTCCTTGTGCATCACAACATTTTCCTTTGTTGCCAAAAACTCATCCACTCAAAGAACATATGCGAAAACATGTGCGTGATCAGTGCCATTGGCCTTCTCCTACGTACAGGACCCATAGTCTGCAGAGGGCCTGGGCTGCTGACGACCACACTTACCTGACTCTCGACCCGTGCCATGCCGCTGCTTTGAGCAGGTGCGGCCTCTAAATTTATGCCTATGAACGCGTCGTCTGTGATTTTACTACTTCGACTACCATGATTCTTACTGCTGCTGTCGTTGCTGTTGCTCTTCGTTCTGAATGCCCCAAGTCTCGGCTTTGACATCTCGGTGCACGATGCGCAAGCGATGCAGATGTGTCAACGCTGACGCCAGGCCTCGGCAGCAGCATGACCGCCACTATCACCGGAATCCGCACCCTGAAACTGTGACTCGGCAACTTCATGGACTGCTACTAGCGCGACGCAGTACTTGTCCATATTTTCTTCTATTGATTGCAGTGAGCCATGATATATTATGCTGTTATCCAGTGGAGGCCTATGGAAAACACCCTCCAAAGCATCTTGAATCTGCCAGGAAAGAGAAACTGCAGCTGAATGTAAGCAGCCCTTCCACCAACATAGAGCCATATCAACAGGTCAAAGACTGCCATGGAGACTGTGGCCCATGCCGGCTTGAATGTCGAGAATGCGAGGAATGGACAGATACTTCTCCTGCCACGCACCCATTGTAACAGGGTGCATTTCTGCATGGCTCTAGGCATCCGTATCAATGAGCGGTGTTGGCACCCGCAGCAACCGAACCCTTCTCCTGCAATTGACATGAAAACATAACAGTAGAACAGCTTGTTCATCGCAATTCGGGTCCTTGTAAAGAATGAGGTGTTTTTCTTTACAAGGAGCCCCAGAATACCGCTATCGACAGATGCCGCCATTCCTGTGGAGATTCGACAAGTTTCTGCATCGAGGCTTCTGGGGGTGATCTCAGTCACAGGGCATCCTCTGAAGCCACTCTCAGAAATGAGGCCTTGATGATGTCGAAGAAATCACCTCCAGTGCAGTGCTCCATCACAAGAAGCCAGACCACCTCAGAGGAGTTGCGGACAGGGTGGGGAGCTTTCGGCTGAAACGATCGCCACAATTTCCAGTCAGAGTGTCGCTGGGAATTCTCGCCGGCACTTTCTCAGCGATGCATAGCTTAGATCAGGAACCCGAGGTCAGCGGTCGTCTCGCACCCTTCTACCCGCTCGTGAAGGCAAGCTGCACTGGACTTCTTCTTCTGCGCCTCTGCGTAGATGCCTGCGAAGGCAACCATCGTTTCTGTCGGGTTCAGAAGTGCGCTTAGATGCATTTCCGGTACGTTTGGCTGCATTCAACAAACCTGTGGCCTATGCCAAGGCACTGTCAAAAACATACACCATTCCCTGCGGACGTAAACTCTCGCAACTCGGACACTGCAAAGTGAGGTTGGCCCGGGTCGGAAAGCAAGCACTTTGGCTTCATGTTGCCGGCCCGGAAATCTGTTTATTCTCAACCTACCTCCCGAGCTATCTCCAAGGTTTCAGCTTATGGACAAGAACTCCTGCCGCAGCTCTTTGCCCCTGTGCCCACCTAAAAGGGCGGAGATGTTTGGATGACCGGCAGACTGCTGCAAGAAGTCGACCTCTCGACCTGCCAGAATTAAAAAAACAAAGCCAATCCATGAATTCACAGAAGCTCAGGTAATGTGTGCCGCGGCATCTAGCCATCTGCCAAGGCAATTCCCGCTGTAGCTCCAGCCGCATATGTGGGTCGCTCTTGTGAAAGGCGGGGAAACTTTCCAAATTGCATGGAAGGCACGCACCATCCCCGAGTCCAGCTTGTCCCAAATCTTCACGGCCACCCGTCCTTGGAAAGTCCGATCGAGAATAGGCTTGCAGGCCCTTTGCTAGACGATACCAACTGCAAACCAATCCAGAGCTAGGCTCCGAAGTTGTGGACCTTGTTCATGTTCAGCACCTGTCCGGGACCAATTGCTGTGCTCTGCCATTGCTACACTTTCTCTTACCTCCCTCCTGTCCGAAGTTCAACGACTGGCTGTCGGAACAGCACCTGCATCAGCTGACGTCTTCTGAAATGCTGACAAAGGCACATCCCCCTTCAAGGGGATGAGCTTCCTGTGCGCATCATACAATGGCAGGAGCGAGACACCTCCTCGGCATTTCAAGGGGTTCACTCGTGAACCATGCTCGGGGTAATGGTAGTCCATGCATGGACGTCTTGTATGCTCCTTTACACTGTGCATACATGAAATGGTGTGCACAATCAACACTCGCAAGCCATCTACGTATGTATGTATGTCAGAACACCACTTCAACCAATCCACCTCTTTGCTTTCAAAGGTGGAGA